TACAGTCAATTCAAAGGTCATAGTGAATTAAGTCAACATATTAGGTTCTAATAATATTGCTCATTGTGGTACTAAATAAAGTGATAAAAATAGTTATCACAACAGTGGCAAAAATCTATATTACTTAAAAATGTGGGAATACTTGAAAAATATTTATATTCTATTTTTACCTCTTAAAGTTGGTGTAAAGTCAATCATATCCACAATGTCTTTTGATCTCTTTTTTTTTTTTTGAAATATGTCTTTTGATCTTTCTTTAGTATGAGACTAATTATATTTAATTTTGTTAATTATACCTTGCTTTGGAAGAAGCCAAATTATATTTAATTTAGCCTTTCAAATTTTTGACATTGTCCATAATTTTGTTGTTCCTCGTTGAAAATATGCTCTTCACTTGTATTGTTGGGTTGTTATTATGTTTCATATCTTCAATTTCATTCCATATAGGTCTACGATGTTTTAATTACGGTACTCTATTGCCTTGAATCTATTTTGGTACTTTGTTATGGGCTAGCTCTTATTTGTTTTTAGTGGTTTGGTTAAAGGTTTTGGATCATCACTAGCTTCAACAATTTCGAAATGTGAGCAATCAGATTTTGTGGTCACTTNAAGGAATTTAAAAAATAAACGAAAAATAGAATTGGGAAAGAAAACCCGCTTCGAAGGGGTGAAAACCTCCAATGATTCAATTCAAAAAGAATCTAACTCCAAAACTTCACAAGAAAGTTCAATATAATATTTCTCGTGTCATTTACATTGATAGAGAAACCTTTAAATACAAGGCGATAAAAACTACCTTTATAACTAATTTGATCTATGACTCCATTATCTTAGTAATCATCTAGGATATCACTAACTCACTTACTAAAATATCTACCTAANTCTCTTTGCCCATAGTTTAATTATTTACACGTTATGAAAAGGTTGATACCCAACTTATTCTCTTAGTTACAACAAACTTAAATTCTTAATTTTTCTATCGATTTATTTTTTTAACTTTATATAAAGCTGTCCAGGTTCTTAAATTTTTAGAGAAGTCTAGTACAACACAAATTTGTCTTAATTTTTTGATTCTTGCGGAGACTTCACATCTTTTATGGAATGGTTACATAACTAAATATTATTCTGGATCTATGTATGTCATCCACAATAATCTGCTTTTTATCATCCCAATTTTATCCACAAAACTAAAGGGACATGACTAAATATTGTAGTACTCAAATTTGAGTGTATTCAATAAAGCATGGGTGGCCCAACATATTTGGGGGCCCTAGGCAAAAATTTTAAATTAGGTCCTATTAATATTATTTAAAAATAATATAAATAATTGTCAATAATTAAATTATTTATTTTTTTTTCTTTTTTGGGATTCAAAAATATTAATTGAAATTTTCAATTCAAGTTTTTTACATTAAAATTCAACTAACAAAAGTCGAATTCTCGATCAAATATAATTAAGTTAAATTTCTATTGAAAGAGAATGAAAATTTAATCTAACTAACAAAATAATTTTTTTTAGAACAATTGTAAAAGTTAAAATTTGTGTAAGTTAAATGGTATTGGAATATGTGAAATATATTTTAATATTTCAGAAAACTAAAGAAATGTTTTAATTGAGAAATTTTAGCAAGACAATTATAGTTATAATTAGTTTCAGATAGTGAGATACTTCTACTCACTCTATTCTATAGTCATTTTTATATGCTTTAAAAAATAATTAAGTAAAAATATATCCCAAATTTGAAGTAGCCTCAAATTTAATCTAAAAAAATAAAAAGTTATAATTTACAAGTATTAGTTGATAGACAATGAATTACAATTTTTTTTTTTTTGATAATAAGATAGAGAACTATTTTATTAGGTGATAACACATACCATAAATATTAGACAAAGATAAAACACATCAGCTCAAACTTTAGGGCCCTAAATATTTTTGTAAGAAATTCTAAAAATTTTACAATACTATTACTTGTATTTAATCTAGGGACCTAATTTTGACACTTAGTAAATTATGGTTATTTGATTTTTAGTAAACTTATTCAATTGTAGTTTTTCTTACTAATTTAATGGTCAAAATGCATTAAATTCTCAAATTAAACCCAAAAATTAAGTCTAGTAAAATTGTACAAAAATTAAATTTGGGGCCCCAAAATTTTTGTCCCATTTGAGGACCTAGGCAATGGCCTAGTGCATGGGCCGGCACTGCAATAGAGTGAAAAATGATAAAGATGAAGTATAATTTGGTTGTAGGCAACTTAAATGCTGATTCCTTAAATGTTGATCCCAATGCTACTAGTAACTTAAACTAAAAAGAGAATAAAAGAAGAAGAGATACATAATAGTAGATTATATTAAGAATGTTCTTACATAACACTTTTTGGAAGGTCCAGAATGTTCTAGTTTTAGTAAATATGATGAATGGATGTAAAAAAAGAGAAGGTCTTAAAGGGTCATTAAAGAAAAGTCTATATAGTTCTATTACTTTTATATAAGTGACTGCAGACCATCAAATTAGACAACATCATGAGCAGTCTACATTTTCATCAAATTAAAAATAGGCACTGAAATAACTTAGGTTGATTTGTTGTATAATAATTCTTAATAAAAAAATTAACATTTTCTTATTCCCCCCTCTCTGCCTCTACTTGAAGCTAAGAACATATATAAATAACATAAATTAAGGAGCAAAAATATAGAATTTTTTATGAGAAGAAATAACATATATGCAAGCAGATTTGCATTTAAGCAAATGCAATTCTAATGAAAGGTTTTTGATGCAAAGACTCATCTAAAATACTCAATGTAGGAACACAAGGTGGATACCACACTCCTTTACATGAAAATCAGTACCACCAGTAATGCGAAAACCCCAAGAATGTAAACCCCCTAAGGCCGTCGACGCCTCTAGCCGCCCTAATCCCCTATTTTATTCCTTTCGCCCTCTTCATCACTGTACACCATATCATCCTCTCTTTACCATAGCTAGTGCCACTTTCTCTGTTTTCTCTGCCTTTCTTTCCCCCAAAAGCCATTCTCTCTTTTTTGCCCTAACCCCAAATTACACCTTTATTTCCCATCTCTGACCCNAGAACAATTGTAAAAGTTAAAATTTGTGTAAGTTAAATGGTATTGGAATATGTGAAATATATTTTAATATTTCAGAAAACTAAAGAAATGTTTTAATTGAGAAATTTTAGCAAGACAATTATAGTTATAATTAGTTTCAGATAGTGAGATACTTCTACTCACTCTATTCTATAGTCATTTTTATACGCTTTAAAAAATAATTAAGTAAAAATATATCCCAAATTTGAAGTAGCCTCAAATTTAATCTAAAAAAATAAAAAGTTATAATTTACAAGTATTAGTTGATAGACAATGAATTACAATTTTTTTTTTTTTGATAATAAGATAGAGAACTATTTTATTAGGTGATAACACATACCATAAATATTAGACAAAGATAAAACACATCAGCTCAAACTTTAGGGCCCTAAATATTTTTGTAAGAAATTCTAAAAATTTTACAATACTATTACTTGTATTTAATCTAGGGACCTAATTTTGACACTTAGTAAATTATGGTTATTTGATTTTTAGTAAACTTATTCAATTGTAGTTTTTCTTACTAATTTAATGGTCAAAATGCATTAAATTCTCAAATTAAACCCAAAAATTAAGTCTAGTAAAATTGTACAAAAATTAAATTTGGGGCCCCAAAATTTTTGTCCCATTTGAGGACCTAGGCAATGGCCTAGTGCATGGGGCGGCACTGCAATAGAGTGAAAAATGATAAAGATGAAGTATAATTTGGTTGTAGGCAACTTAAATGCTGATTCCTTAAATGTTGATCCCAATGCTACTAGTAACTTAAACTAAAATGAGAATAAAAGAAGAAGAGATACATAATAGTAGATTATATTAAGAATGTTCTTACATAACACTTTTTGGAAGGTCCAGGATGTTCTAATTTTAGTAAATATGATGAATGGATGTAGAAAAAGAGAAGGTCTTAAAGGGTCATTAAAGAAAAGTCTATATAGTTCTATTACTTTTATATAAGTGACTGCAAACCATCAAATTAGACAACATCATGAGCAGTCTACATTTTCATCAAATTAAAAATAGGCACTGAAATAACTTAGGTTGATTTGTTGTATAATAATTCTTAATAAAAAAATTAACATTTTCTTATTCCCCCCTCTCTGCCTCTACTTGAAGCTAAGAACATATATAAATAACATATATTAAGGAGCAAAAATATAGAATTTTTTATGAGAAGAAATAACATATATGCAAGCAGATTTGCATTTAAGCAAATGCAATTCTAATGAAAGGTTTTTGATGCAAAGACTCATCTAAAATACTCAATGTAGGAACACAAGGTGGATACCACACTCCTTTACATGAAAATCAGTACCACCAGTAATGCGAAAACCCCAAGAATGTAAACCCCCTAAGGCCGTCGACGCCTCTAGCCGCCCTAATCCCCTATTTTATTCCTTTCGCCCTCTTCATCACTGTACACCATATCATCCTCTCTTTACCATAGCTAGTGCCACTTTCTCTGTTTTCTCTGCCTTTCTTTCCCCCAAAAGCCATTCTCTCTTTTTTGCCCTAACCCCAAATTACACCTTTATTTCCCATCTCTGACCCTTTTCTTGGCATTTATTGCATCCCCATCCTATAATCTATGGAAATCGACTGGAATTTAAGGCCTTTACCAATCAATTGTGGGTCAAAGGTCGATGAATCATTGGTGAATAGCATTAATGGCAGGCCTGATGCATGCCTTGGTGGGAGTACTTTGGCAGAGGGTATAAATCCAACTATGATTGTTGAGGATGTATATGCTCAAACATAAGCGTGAACTGGTAAGGTCCTCGCTGATCAGACCAGGTTCGATAGAGAAGAAGTTACTGAGTCAGTGATAGAGCAAAGCAGGTTACAGAAACTGATTATTGAGAATGACCTTCTCAAGCATTTTTTTTTAAGCCAAAATGGAATACCCAGGTCGAAATAAGTCTCAAATTAAGCTTAGTGGCGGTAGTGATGGCAGAGGTATTTTCAATGCCGCTGGAAATGGAGGCAATGGACAAGCCAGGTCCAGATGGAAAGAGAAATCAGTTACAAGGGATGTGCCGAGGGTGAATTCACAAGAAGCAGGTATGCAGTCTTTAACCTCTTATAATCAATTGGGAAATCCCAAGCTTGATGCTGGGGGTGGGTCAAATGGTCTGAGTAATAATAGATCTTGGGTTAATATGGTTCAAAATGATTTGAGATCCCTGGTAGAAATGCAGTACATGGCCCCTAGTAAACAAATGGGAAAAGTTATGGTTAGACCTCCCAAAGAGGTAACCCAGGAGGGATATTCCAAATGGGAAGCTTGTATGGTGGGGTACTTTATTGGCAAGATATTGCCTTTCCAAGTTGTGAAAGCATCAGCTATGAGGATGTGGGGAAACAAGGGGTTATTCGATGTTATTGCCAATGAGAATGGATTCTTCTTCTTTAAGTTCTCAAGTACAGGTAACAAAAACGAGGTCTTGGAAGGGGGTCCTTGGCATATTGGTGGCCAGCCTATTATATTAAGGAAGTGGCAGCCAAGACTCAAGCTTACAAAGGAGGCTGTGAGGAAGATCCCAATTTGGGTAAAATTTTATAATATACCCATTGAATATTGGACTGCCACTAGGTTTAGTTACGTAGCTAGTGTAGTTGGGAAACCTTTGTATATGGATAAGTTGACGGAGGAGGGTAGTAGAGCTACTTTTGCAAGGATTTGTGTAGAGGTTGATGGAAGTGAGCCTTTACTGGATGCCTTTGATCAAATGATGGAGGGTGACAATGAAGAGGATAGTGAGAAAATTGAAATTAAGGTAGTTTACCAATGGAAACTAATTCGATGTGATCAATGCAAAGTTTTTGGGCATAGCTGCCATACAATAGCTACTTCCATTGAGAAGCAGCAAAGTATTGAGAAAGGAAACACTTCTGCTAATTCTAAAGCATCTAGCCAGGTTGAGGTTAGGGACTGTGTTCAGGGTGAACTAATCAGAAATGAGGATGCTGGATAAAAAGGGGTACAAAGTCTGACACAAAATCTTCATCTTATTTTAGATGGATAGAGTGAACAGTGGCAAATAGTGAAGAGCAAAGGGAAGGAGAAAGTGATAGAAGAGCAACCTTTAAGACTGGAGGTAAACTTGTCATCTGAAATAGAGTGCTCGATGAAGAGGGCTATAGAACCTTCCAACAAGTTCTAGGCTCTGGATTTAGTACCAGCTACAGAGATGAAGGAGGCAGATGAGGGCGTTAGTGATTTTGAGCCGCCTGAACCTGGATCCATGATGGACAATATCAAGGCCATTGACGAGGTGGAAAACCTGCTTTCTACATCAACTAGAAAGAAACAGAGGAAAACCAAATGAAAGAGTAAGCAATCTTTGAACTCAAGATTGGCGGCTCCCTGCGAGGGGTTGAGGTCATCACTGTCACATAAAATTTCTAATGACTAGTTTCTTTTGCTGGAATGTGAGGGGGCTGAATGGTCCTGTGAAGCAAGAAGAAGTACAGAAACAAGTGAACCAATATGGTGTTGGTTTGTGCTGCCTTGTCGAAACCAAGGTTAGAAAGATTAATTGTGATGTTATTTTTAGAAGAATGTTGCTGAATTGGAGAATCATTGATAATTATGTTCACTCAACTAGAGGGAGAGTATGGGTATGTTGGGACCCCATTTTTTTTGATGTAAGATTGGACGGGCTTACTGACTTGGTTGTACATTGCACTATTGTTAACCTGACTGACCAGAAGATTTTTTCTGCATCTTTTGTTTCTGCCTAGAATGAGGAGGGACCTAGAAAGCAACTATGGTATAATCTTGAACAAAGGGCTGCGGCTGTACAGGGGCAAACAGGGATTGTTTGGGAGACTTTAATGTGGTCAAATCCAACTTTGAGAAGGTAGGAGAGGTTAGTGTGAGAGACAAAGGGAGTGAGGATTTTTGTGAATCCCTATTTAGGACTGATCTTGAAGACTTAAAATATTCGGGAAACCAGTACACATGGTGTAACAGAAGATATGATGGTGGTTTAATTGCTAAGAAGCTGGACAGAGTGTTGGTTAATGAGGTTTGGGGAAGAGCCTATCCTAATTCAAAAGCTGTTTTTCTTACCCCAGGAATTTCCTTACCATTCACTAGCCTTGGTCAGAATGGGGATAGAACTCCCTAAGTGTAGGAAGTCATTCAAATTCTTCGATTTTTGGGCTAATCATCAGGATTTCTTACCAACTGTCACAAGAGTTTGGGCCACTCAAATAAGAAGATCTCATATGTTCAGAATCTATCAAAAGTTGAAGCTGCTCAAGAAAGATTTAAAGGATTTGAATAAGAGGAATTACAGTGATATATCGTCCAGAGTTATAGTTGCAAGATAGGCCCTCCAAGATATTCAAACGAAAGCAAATAGAAGTCCTTTGAACATACACCTATGGGAGGAAGAAAGAGAGAAGTTGAGAAAGTATGTTGAACTCACAGAAGCAGAGGAAAGTTTTTTTAGGCATAAATCTAGAGTCCAGTGGCTGAACTTGGGGGATCAAAACACGAGTTTCTTCTTCAAGCATATTAATAAGCAAAGAATACAGAGGAAGATCACTACCATTTAGAAAGAAGATGGGACCAAGGTCACTGAGTATCGTGAAATTCAAGAGGAGGTTGTTAGCTATTACTACCAGCTGCTTGGTGGGTCTCTTCCTAGTTCTGCAATACTTGTGCAGTGGGTTAATCACTACATCAGAAGGAGAATCTTTTTAGATCTTACAACTCATTTGTCCCTTGATGTCACCAGAGATGAAATCAAGTGTGCATTATTCTCAATGAAGGATGGGACGACCCCAGGTCTAGATGGCTATTCCGCTGGATTCTTCAAGAAAACATGGCATATTGTGGGTGATGAAGTGACTGATGCCATCATGTCATTCTTTGTTTCTAGGAAGCTGTTGAGGGAAGTTAATTCTACCACTATTGCTTTGATTCACAAGGTACCTAATCCTTCTATGATTAATGATTACCGGCCAATTTCATGTTGTAACATCATTTACAAATGTATTTCAAAGATTTTGGCCATCAGAATCAAAAGAGTGCTGCCTAAGCTAATTGACAAATCTCAAACTGCGTTCATACAAGGTAGAAGAATGTCTGATAACATCTTGATTTCCCAAGAACTCTTAAGGAACTATCATCTGGATAAAGGGAGTCCTAGATGTACATTGAAAATTGACCTTATGAAGGCTTATGATAATATTAGGTGGGAGTTTTTTCTAGAAGTGATGCAAGCCATGAGTTTTCCCCAACAGTTGATTTGATAGGTTCAAACGTGTATTACTTCTCCTATGTACTCAGTGAGTCTTAATGGTGAGTTGAAAGGTTATTTTGAAGGAAAAAAGGTTTAAGACAGGGAGATCCCTTGCTCCTTATCTTTTTGTGCTTGCAATGGAGGTTTTTAATGGCATTATGAAGGAGGTGGCTGAGCTGGACAAATTCAAGTATCATTGGAGATGTGGCAAGGAGGATATTTCTCACATTTGCTTTGCTGAAGATGTTATGATCTTCAGTAAAGGAAATCTTGATTCAATTAGGACTGTCAAGGATGCCCCCAGACTTTTTGGGCTCAAAGCTAACCCAAGCAAGTGTCATTTTTACTGCTCTGGCATTAATAATGTGGATAAAGTGGAGATCATGCAGTTAATGGGGTTTTCAGAAGGTGAATTGCATGTGAGATATCTGGGTGTTCCTCTCATTACCACTAAATTGAGGGCTAGGGATTGTCAGCCACTGGTTGAGAAGNCAATGGAGGTTTTTAATGGCATTATGAAGGAGGCGGCTGAGCTGGACAAATTCAAGTATCATTGGAAATGTGGCAAGGAGGATATTTCTCACATTTGCTTTGATGAAGATGTTATGATCTTCAGTAAAGGAAATCTTGATTCAATTAGGATTGTCAAGGATGCCCCCAGACTTTTTGGGCTCAAAGCTAACCCAAGCAAGTGTCATTTNTGGACTGCCACTAGGTTTAGTTACGTAGCTAGTGTAGTTGGGAAACCTTTGTATATGGATAAGTTGACGGAGGAGGGTAGTAGAGCTACTTTTGCAAGGATTTGTGTAGAGGTTGATGGAAGTGAGCCTTTACTGGATGCCTTTGATCAAATGATGGAGGGTGACAATGAAGAGGATAGTGAGAAAATTGAAATTAAGGTAGTTTACCAATGGAAACTAATTCGATGTGATCAATGCAAAGTTTTTGGGCATAACTGCCATACAATAGCTACTTCCATTGAGAAGCAGCAAAGTATTGAGAAAGGAAACACTTATGCTAATTCTAAAGCATCTAGCCAAGTTGAGGTTAGGGACTGTGTTCAGGGTGAACTAATCGGAAATGAGGATGCTGGATAAAAAGGGGTACAAAGTCTGACACAAAATCTTCATCTTATTTTAGATGGATAGAGTGAACAGTGGCAAATAGTGAAGAGCAAAGGGAAGGAGAAAGTGATAGAAGAGCAACCTTTAAGACTGGAGGTAAACTTGTCATCTGAAATAGAGTGCTCGATGAAGAGGGCTATAGAACCTTCCAACAAGTTCTAGGCTCTGGATTTAGTACCAGCTACAGAGATGGAGGAGGCAGATGAGGGCGTTAGTGATTTTGAGCCGCCTGAACCTGGATCCATGATGGACAAAATCAAGGCCATTGACGAGGTGGAAAACCTGCTTTCTACATCAACTAGAAAGAAACAGAGGAAAACCAAAGGAGAGAGTAAGCAATCTTTGAACTCAAGATTGGCGGCTCCCTGCGAGGGGTTGAGGTCGTCACTGTCACATAAAATTTCTAATGATTAGTTTCTTTTGCTGGAATGTGAGGGGGCTGAATGGTCCTGTGAAGCAAGAAGAAGTACAGAAACAAGTGAACCAATATGGTGTTGGTTGTGCTGCCTTGTCGAAACCAAGGTTAGAAAGATTAATTGTGATGTTATTTTTAGAAGAATGTTGCTGAATTGGAGAATCATTGATAATTATGTTCACTCAACTAGAGGGAGAGTATGGGTATGTTGGGACCCCATTTTTTTTGATGTAAGATTGGACGGGCTTACTGACTTGGTTGTACATTGCACTATTGTTAACCTGACTGACCAGAAGATTTTTTCTGCATCTTTTGTTTCTGCCTAGAATGAGGAGGGACCTAGAAAACAACTATGGTATAATCTTGAACAAAGGGCTGCGGCTGTACAGGGGCAAACAGGGATTGTTTGGGAGACTTTAATGTGGTCAAATCCAACTTTGAGAAGGTAGGAGAGGTTAGTGTGAGAGACAAAGGGAGTGAGGATTTTTGTGAATCCCTATTTAGGACTGATCTTGAAGACTTAAAATATTCGGGAAACCAGTACACATGGTGTAACAGAAGATATGATGGTGGTTTAATTGCTAAGAAGCTGGACAGAGTGTTGGTTAATGAGGTTTGGGGAAGAGCCTATCCTAATTCAAAAGCTGTTTTTCTTACCCCAGGAATTTCCTTACCATTCACTAGCCTTGGTCAGAATGGGGATAGAACTCCCTAAGTGTAGGAAGTCATTCAAATTCTTCGATTTTTGGGCTAATCATCAGGATTTCTTACCAACTGTCACAAGAGTTTGGGCCACTCAAATAAGAAGATCTCATATGTTCAGAATCTATCAAAAGTTGAAGCTGCTCAAGAAAGATTTAAAGGATTTGAATAAGAGGAATTACAGTGATATATCGTCCAGAGTTATAGTTGCAAGATAGGCCCTCCAAGATATTCAAACGAAAGCAAATAGAAGTCCTTTGAACATACACCTATGGGAGGAAGAAAGAGAGAAGTTGAGAAAGTATGTTGAACTCACAGAAGCAGAGGAAAGTTTTTTTAGGCATAAATCTAGAGTCCAGTGGCTGAACTTGGGGGGATCAAAACACGAGTTTCTTCTTCAAGCATATTAATAAGCAAAGAATACAGAGGAAGATCACTACCATTTAGAAAGAAGATGGGACCAAGGTCACTGAGTATCGTGAAATTCAAGAGGAGGTTGTTAGCTATTACTACCAGCTGCTTGGTGGGTCTCTTCCTAGTTCTGCAATACCTGTGCAGTGGGTTAATCACTACATCAGAAGGAGAATCTTTTTAGATCTTACAGCTCATTTGTCCCTTGATGTCACCAGAGATGAAATCAAGTGTGCATTATTCTCAATGAAGGATGGGACGACCCCAGGTCTAGATGGCTATTCCGCTGGATTCTTCAAGAAAACATGGCATATTGTGGGTGATGAAGTGACTGATGCCATCATGTCATTCTTTGTTTCTAGGAAGCTGTTGAGGGAAGTTAATTCTACCACTATTGCTTTGATTCACAAGGTACCTAATCCTTCTATGATTAATGATTACCGGCCAATTTCATGTTGTAACATCATTTACAAATGTATTTCAAAGATTTTGGCCATCAGAATCAAAAGAGTGCTGCCTAAGCTAATTGACAAATCTCAAACTGCGTTCATACAAGGTAGAAGAATGTCTGATAACATCTTGATTTCCCAAGAACTCTTAAGGAACTATCATCTGGATAAAGGGAGTCCTAGATGTACATTGAAAATTGACCTTATGAAGGCTTATGATAATATTAGGTGGGAGTTTTTTCTAGAAGTGATGCAAGCCATGAGTTTTCCCCAACAGTTGATTTGATAGGTTCAAACGTGTATTACTTCTCCTATGTACTCAGTGAGTCTTAATGGTGAGTTGAAAGGTTATTTTGAAGGAAAAAAGGTTTAAGACAGGGAGATCCCTTGCTCCTTATCTTTTTGTGCTTGCAATGGAGGTTTTTAATGGCATTATGAAGGAGGCGGCTGAGCTGGACAAATTCAAGTATCATTGGAAATGTGGCAAGGAGGATATTTCTCACATTTGCTTTGATGAAGATGTTATGATCTTCAGTAAAGGAAATCTTGATTCAATTAGGATTGTCAAGGATGCCCCCAGACTTTTTGGGCTCAAAGCTAACCCAAGCAAGTGTCATTTTTACTGCTCTGGCATTAATAATGTGGATAAAGTGGAGATCATGCAGTTAATGGGGTTTTCAGAAGGTGAATTGCATGTGAGATATCTGGGTGTTCCTCTCATTACCACTAAATTGAGGGCTAGGGATTGTCAGCCACTGGTTGAGAAGATTACTGCCAAGGTAAGTTTCTAGTGCAACAAATCACTTTCATATGCTGGCAGAGTACAATTGATCCGCTCAGTTCTCTTTTTAATTCAAGGTTTTTGGTCTTCTTTATTTATATTGCCAATAAAAGTAGTCAAAACAGTGGAGCAAATTATGAGAAGATTCTTATGGNGCTGCCATACAATAGCTACTTCCATTGAGAAGCAGCAAAGTATTGAGAAAGGAAACACTTCTGCTAATTCTAAAGCATCTAGCCAGGTTGAGGTTAGGGACTGTGTTCAGGGTGAACTAATCAGAAATGAGGATGCTGGATAAAAAGGGGTACAAAGTCTGACACAAAATCTTCATCTTANAGTCTGTTACAGATTTTAAAATGTCTGGAGCCAAGGTGGCTTGGGACAAAGTGTGTCTGCCAAAGGATGAAGGGGGACTTGAGTTTAAAAGCATGAAACAGTGGAACAATGCTATTATTATGAAACATCTATGGAATGTCATAAGCAAAAGTTACAACTCAATATGGGTGGATTGGATTTATTCANGGTCTGTTACAGATTTTAAAATGTCTGGAGCCAAGGTGGCTTGGGACAAAGTGTGTCTGCCAAAGGATGAAGGGGGACTTGGGTTTAAAAGCATGAAACAGTGGAACAATGCTATTATTATGAAACATCTATGGAATGTNAAGGAGGCAGATGAGGGCGTTAGTGATTTTGAGCCGCCTGAACCTGGATCCATGATGGACAATATCAAGGCCATTGACGAGGTGGAAAACCTGCTTTCTACATCAACTAGAAAGAAACAGAGGAAAACCAAATGAAAGAGTAAGCAATCTTTGAACTCAAGATTGGCGGCTCCCTGCGAGGGGTTGAGGTCATCACTGTCACATAAAATTTCTAATGACTAGTTNGTCATAAGCAAAAGTTACAACTCAATATGGGTGGATTGGATTTATTCATATCTTGTAAAAGGCAAGAGCTTCTGGAGTGTGAAAATTCCTCAAAAGTCATCTTGGGCATGGAGAAAGATTCTAAATTTGAGAAAAGAAAGTTTAGCAATGGTGAATTATAAGATTGGGAATGATGACTCTAATTTTCTCTGGTTTGATCCATGACACCCAATAGGTTCTATCTACTAGCATAAGGGAGAGTCCATCATTAGGGAATCAGGGCTTGGGAGAGATGCTAAAGTAAGTTCTATAATTAATAATGGTAACTGAGACTGGCCGACAACAAATGGGGACATGATGGAGCTGCTAAGAGGTATTTCTCCTAATATGAAACCTGTCATGAGTCAGAGGGACTGTGTCTTGTGGCTGCCTTCTAGAACCAAGATTTTTAGCTCTANGCAACTATGGTATAATCTTGAACAAAGGGCTGCGGCTGTACAGGGGCAAGCAGGGATTGTTTGGGAGACTTTAATGTGGTCAAATCCAACTTTGAGAAGGTAGAAGAGGTTAGTGTGAGAGACAAAGGGAGTGAGGATTTTTGTGAATCCCTATTTAGGACCGATCTTGAAGACTTAAAATATTCGGGAAACCAGTACACATGGTGTAACAGAAGATATNCGACCAGATGCAAGATTGGGCTGATATTGTATGGTTTTCTGGTGCTGTGCCTAGATACAATTTTATTTTATGGCTGGTTGTTCAAAACAGGCTTTCCAGCCAAAACAAGCTTATATCATATGATGTTATTCATTTAACTCATTGTGTGTTTTGCAAAGAAGTAGTGGAAACTCATAACCACCTTTTTTTTAATGCCTTTTCACTGAGAGAATATGGATTTCATTGAAAGACAAAGTGCATGTCCAATGGCCAAGACTTGATTGGCTTGATTTGGTTAACTGGTATGCTACAAACATGAAGGGGAAGGNAGATTTCTTACCAACTGTCACAAGAGTTTGGGCCACTCAAATAAGAAGATCTCATATGTTCAGAATCTATCAAAAGTTGAAGCTTCTCAAGAAAGATTTAAAGGATTTGAATAAGAGGAATTACAGTGATATATCGTCCAGANACCAGATGCAAGATTGGGCTGATATTGTATGGTTTTCTGGTGCTGTGCCTAGATACAGTTTTATTTTATGGCTAGCTGTTCAAAACAGGCTTTCCAGCCAAAACAAGCTTATATCATATGATGTTATTCATTTAACTCATTGTGTGTTTTGCAAAGAAGTAGTGGAAACTCATAACCACCTTTTTTTTAATGCCTTTTCACTGAGAGAATATGGATTTCATTGAAAGACAAAGTGCATGTCCAATGGCCAAGACTTGATTGGCTTGATTTGGTTAACTGGTATGCTACAAACATGAAGGGGAAGGCTTTTCCAAAAGCTGATTGGCAAATTGATGCTCGCCATCTCAATTTATATGATTTGGAGGGAGAGGAATCACAGGGTTTTTAAAAACTCCTATAGAGATGTGGTCTCCATTTATAAGGAGATAGTGGAAAATGTTANTTGTGCAGTGGGTTAATCACTACATCAGAAGGAGAATCTTTTTAGATCTTACAACTCATTTGTCCCTTGATGTCACCAGAGATGAAATCAAGTGTGCATTATTCTCAATTAAGGATGGGACGGCCCCAGGTCTAGATGGCTATTCCGCTGGATTCTTCAAGAAAACATGGCATATTGTGGNGAGCCGTGGAATCAAAAGAAACAATCCTAATGCATGGTTGCAAAAGACAATGGGCCTTGCCTGACAATATTTTTTTTCTCTGACTCATCACATGTGGATGTTACTCGTTGGTGTTGGCCTTTCCAGTGGAATGCTTGTGATCCGTTTGTTTATGAGGTATGTGTGGAGAGTGTGATGCTCTGGTTGCGTCAATGATGCGATGATTCATCCTCTGTTTTGCTGCGGGTTTCGTGCTGTGTGGGTGCTGTTTGTTTGTTGTTGTTGGTTGTTCTGCTTGCCGGGGTTGGCTTGTGCTTTGTATCACTATGTGGGCAAGCTTACAGGGCCATGTTGTAACACATGTTGGGTGTTCCACCTGTGGAGGATTCTCTCCCTTTGCTGCATTTCTGCTTGCTGGACCTTCCACCTATGGGCATGTGGCGTGTTCCTAGTGTTTGTCTTGACCTGTTGCTGCTTGGGCTTGCTGGAGCCTGGTCTGCTTCTTGTTTTGTTTTGGGTGCCTCCTGCTGTTTTCTTTCTTGTTGATGCTTGGAATGGAGGTTTTGATTGCTGCTGATGGTTCGCTAGTTTTGTTGGTTGTTCCTTCTTTCTTTTCTTTTCTGGATGCTCCATCAGATAAGCTTATGCTTTGTACATTTTTTGTTCAGTCCTTTTGGATTTGTATTCCTTGTATTTTATTTTGCTGATTGGCATGNGGAGCCTGGTCTGCTTCTTGTTTTGTTTTGGGTGCCTCCTGCTGTTTTCTTTCTTGTTGATGCTTGGAATGGAGGTTGTGATTGCTGCTGATGGTTCGCTAGTTTTGTTGGTTGTTCCTTCTTTCTTTTCTTTTCTGGATGCTCCATCAGATAAGCTTATGCTTTGTACATTTTTTGTTCAGTCCTTTTGGATTTGTATTCCTTGTATTTTATTTTGCTGATTGGCATGGTTGATCTTCTTCTCCCCTGTTCAGAAGATCGGCCATCCCATGGTATCACCTTGTACATTTTCTTTGGTTTTAATGATTTCATCTTACTTACAGAAAAAAAAAAAATACTTAATGTAAATCATCTACTGGTTTTCATGTTTTGCAGTTGCAAGACGCTGCCATTGAAACAACATCTTGAGATTGCTTGCTAGATTGGAATGACGTGTGCCAAGATAACGTCCAATTTGAACAAACTCAATATTGGCACCAGCATTTTGTGAGTTCATCATGTCCAATTCTCTATTCTAACATAAGTTATCGGTTTAGAATAGCATATGAATTTTAGAGTCTTATTTGATAGTTCATGTGCTATCAAATTGTGACAGTTCACATGTGCTATTCTAAACTTCCCATAAGCTACATTTTGAAGGAATGCTCCAATGCATTCTGTTATAGGAAGTTTAGGATAGCACAGACCATTAGTCGAATTGCTATGAGCCAATGACTTTAGATCAACCTATCTATCAATAGGGTGGCTCAATAAAAGTTTATATGTATTTTTTATTTTGGTAATAGGTTTATTGCTCATATAGTTGTATTAATCATGAATGCACTGTCTTTATTTATTTTTAGATAGAATCGTACAATTTAACAAATTACATAGAATATTAATTTTAAAATAAAAACATCTGATGTTGTACAACTTTACCTACATGTTCTTTCTGATGTCTTAGTTTGAATTGAAAGATTTCTTATTCTTAATGATGATCTTTGAGATAACACCAAAATAAAAATATGGGTTTATGGGCGCCGATAATGATTTCATGGCATGCTGTTACAGATTTCTCTTTTTGTTTTGAAACAATTGCAGCGTTGCACCACTACTACATGCTACTCAATTCTAAGCGTGAGCTGACTGTTGTTCTTGCGGTGAGAATGACAGTAACAAGCCAAATCTACAAGTGTCATGTGTATATTTAAAAAAGACTTATCCATTATATAACTTTTTGGTCTATGTAAAAGACAAGTGATAGACAATACTATTCCTATGTTAGAGAATAACTTTCAAGAACTTGTGACTTACAGTTTTAATGACCGAGTTTATTTAGCAATGGTGAATGGAAGACTTAGGTGGATTAGGAATAATTGGGTGCAATCCAATATCACAATATTTTTAATTATTCGATAAATAGATTATGATGAATTGAATTAAAACATAACGAGTTAAAAAAATCAATACCAATTCTCATTGCGGAGTTAAATCAAAGCATGCACAACACATATAACTGTAAGTGAAGGCTTATGCTGAGCCATTGATGAGTTCATCAAGACATTCAAAAGTAACTTTTTCAAGGTTTGTGGTCAAAAGATATCATGGCATTAGGACTTGACATCTTTATTGAACTCCCTATCTTGTATTATATTTTTTTAAACTTGATCTCTAAATGGATTAGATTTTTGTATTGCATGATGAGTAGTGATTAATAAACTACTCTTCAATTTTATTTTAGCGGATCCCTTCTAATATATTTTTTTTGTAACTCATTTCTTGGTGGATCACCTGTCATATATTCAAGTGTGAAAAATTGTATAAAAGAGACTTCCTCACTCATTAAGGATAGACAATTTGATAAAAAAGAAAATTGAAGAAAAAAATATTGAAAGACATCAATCCACCAATTAGAGACATTTGGAAGAGGAGTGCTATTTACCATGTGTATCAAAGGATTTGCTACGGTATTGACATTAACTTCCTTACTTTTTTATTTTTTCCAACAAATTATAAGAAAATCAGTGTATCGATTGCATGCATTATTGATTGATTTAACTCAAATATAAATAAATAAAAAATTAAATAAAAGGATATATAGTCTTCAGATTGTCTAATATTGGGTTCACTACACGCAGTTTTAGTATGTATTCTAATTTGTTTTACCTTTTTTCTATAATAATTAAGATTATTTTAGTTTGATAGTTCTTTTTAGATTTTTCATTGGATTTGACCTTATATTCAACATTAAATTATTAATATACATAAATTTATGTCTATACACACAAATTTTAATTAAAAAAATTTTACATGCAACACACATGTACAACAACTAGAACTCGTAAATATGATAGTTTATTTTGTACAGTAAAAAATAGTAAAAATAGTTATCATAACAGTAATAAAAGCAATTACAAATGTAATAATTTTTGGGTTATAAAAAAACCCATTAAAATAATAAATTTTGAAATTGTGGTACCGAACTTTTTTTATCGGTACCATAATCAAATCCTTATGACATGTAACTAAGATTTGATATCAATAATGTTTTTTCATTAAGGTTCAAACCAAAAAAATTGCGATAAAAAAAACATAGCCAGAGTTCCCCTGCATCGAACAAGTCGTTTTCCCTTCCCAACTTCAATTAGGATATTTGGTGGCATAAACTAAGCGGACCAATTTGTGACTGTCGAGATATTCTCAAGAATTACATTTTTTTTTGTATTAAAATGCTACCACTTGACACATTATTAAATTAATAAATTGGATGAATTTTCTTTCTAAATATTGATACCTTTGAGCTTAGACTCCAACAAGTGTTCGAGCATTGAAAGTACGCCCGAATGAGGATATACAATAGAACAATGGAACTTGAAAGTTAAAACTATTAGGCAAGCTGTCCAAGCATTAACGTTCGAACTCAAAGAAGAACCTTGCCTAAAAGCGAAATTCTTTGATGTTGGTTCCCCTGGTTCTATGANTTCTCCCCTGTTCAGAAGATCGGCCATCCCATGGTATCACCTTGTACATTTTCTTTGGTTTTAATGATTTCATCTTACTTACAGAAAAAAAAAAAATNCGTCTCCCCTGTTCAGAAGATCGGCCATCCCATGGTATCACCTTGTACATTTTCTTTGGTTTCAATGATTTCATCTTACTTACAGAAAAAAAAAATACTTAATGTAAATCATCTACTGGTTTTCATGTTTTGCAGTTGCAAGACGCTGCCATTGAAACAACATCTTGAGATTGCTTGCTAGATTGGAATGACGTGTGCCAAGATAACGTCCAATTTGAACAAACTCAATATTGGCACCAGCATTTTGTGAGTTCATCATGTCCAATTCTCTATTCTAACATAAGTTATCGGTTTAGAATAGCATATGAATTTTAGAGTCTTATTTGATAGTTCATGTGCTATCAAATTGTGACAGTTCACATGTGCTATTCTAAACTTCCCATAAGCTACATTTTGAAGGAATGCTCCAATGCATTCTGTTATAGGAAGTTTAGGATAGCACAGACCATTAGTCGAATTGCTATGAGCCAATGACTTTAGATCAACCTATCTATCAATAGGGTGGCTCAATAAAAGTTTATATGTATTTTTTATTTTGGTAATAGGTTTATTGCTCATATAGTTGTATTAATCATGAATGCACTGTCTTTATTTATTTTTAGATAGAATCGTACAATTTAACAAATTACATAGAATATTAATTTTAAAATAAAAACATCTGATGTTGTACAACTTTACCTACATGTTCTTTCTGATGTCTTAGTTTGAATTGAAAGATTTCTTATTCTTAATGATGATCTTTGAGATAACACCAAAATAAAAATATGGGTTTATGGGCGCCGATAATGATTTCATGGCATGCTGTTACAGATTTCTCTTTTTGTTTTGAAACAATTGCAGCGTTGCACCACTACTACATGCTACTCAATTCTAAGCGTGAGCTGACTGTTGTTCTTGCGGTGAGAATGACAGTAACAAGCCAAATCTACAAGTGNGCATGCTACTCAACTCTAAGCATGAGCTGACTGTTGTTCTTGCGGTGAGAATGACAGTAACAAGCCAAATCTACAAGTGTCATGTGTATATTTAAAAAAGGCTTATCCATTATATAACTTTTTGGTCTATGTAAAAGACAAGTGATAGACAATACTATTCCTATGTTAGAGAATAACTTTCAAGAACNTGTCATGTGTATATTTAAAAAAGACTTATCCATTATATAACTTTTTGGTCTATGTAAAAGACAAGTGATAGACAATACTATTCCTATGTTAGAGAATAACTTTCAAGAACTTGTGACTTACAGTTTTAATGACCGAGTTTATTTAGCAATGGTGAATGGAAGACTTAGGTGGATTAGGAATAATTGGGTGCAATCCAATATCACAATATTTTTAATTATTCGATAAATAGATTATGATGAATTGAATTAAAACATAACGAGTTAAAAAAATCAATACCAATTCTCATTGCGGAGTTAAATCAAAGCATGCACAACACATATAACTGTAAGTGAAGGCTTATGCTGAGCCATTGATGAGTTCATCAAGACATTCAAAAGTAACTTTTTCAAGGTTTGTGGTCAAAAGATATCATGGCATTAGGACTTGACATCTTTATTGAACTCCCTATCTTGTATTATATTTTTTTAAACTTGATCTCTAAATGGATTAGATTTTTGTATTGCATGATGAGTAGTGATTAATAAACTACTCTTCAATTTTATTTTATTTTTGTCGGATCCCTTCTAATATATTTTTTTTGTAACTCATTTCTTGGTGGATCACCTGTCATATATTCAAGTGTGAAAAATTGTATAAAAGAGACTTCCTCACTCATTAAGGATAGACAATTTGATAAAAAAGAAAATTGAAGANTTTTTGTCGGATCCCTTCTAATATATTTTTTTTGTAACTCGTTTCTTGGTGGATCAC